TGCAGGGCTTGTATCACAAACCGTGAGATCATGACCTGAGCCAAAGTTGGACACTTACCTGACTGAGCCACCCAGGTGTCCCATCTTAGTCCCCTTTATGTCATTCATCCCTCCACTCACCTCCCCTCTGGTACCATCAATTTCTTTTCTAGAGTTAACACTCTGGGGTTTTTTTTTGTTTGTTTGTTGGTTTTGGTTTTGGTTAGTCCCTTTTTCTCTTTGTTCATTTGTTTTGTTTCTTAAATTTCACATATGAGTGAAATTATATGCTTTTTTCTGATTGACTTATTTCACTTAGAATTATACCCTCTAGATAAATCCATGGTGTTACATATGGCAAGATATCATTCTTTTTTATGACTGAGTACTATTTCATTGTATATATGCCACATCTTTATCCATTCATCAATTGATAGATGCTTGGGTTGCTTCCCTATCTTGGCTATTATAAATAATTCTGGGGGCGCCTGGGTGGCGCAGTTGGTTAAGCGTCCGACTTCAGCCAGGTCACGATCTCGCAGTCTGTGAGTTCGAGCCCCGCGTCAGGCTCTGGGCTGATGGCTCGGAGCCTGGAGCCTGTTTCCGATTCTGTGTCTCCCTCTCTCTCTGCCCCTCCCCCATTCATGCTCTGTCTCTCTCTGTCCCAAAAATAAATAAATGTTGAAAAAAAAATTTTTTTTAATAAATAAATAAATAAATAAATAATTCTGTAATAAATAAGAGTGCATATATCTTTTCAAATTTGTTTTTTCAGTTTCTTTGGATAAATATTCAGTAGTGGAATTACTGGATCATGTAGTAACTCTATTTTTAATTTTTTTTAATTTTTAATTTTATTTTTTTTAATTTTTGAGACAGAGAGCATGAGTGGGGAAGGGTGAGAGAGAGAGGGAGACACAGAATCTGAAGCAGGCTCAAAGCTCCAAGCTGTCAGCACAGAGCCTGACATGGGGCTCAATCCCATGGACCATGCCATCATGACCTGAGCCGAAGTCGGATGCTTAACGAACTGAGCCACCCAGGTGCCCCTCTATTTTTAATTTTTTGAAAAACCTCCATACTGTTTTAATTTTTTAAATTAAATTAAATTAAATTAAGTTAAATTTTTAAGTTTTTATTTAAATTCTGGTTAGATAACATACAGTGTAATATTAGTTTTAGGTGTACAATATAGTGATTCAACATTTCCACACAACACTTGGTGCTCATGATGACAAGGCCACTCCTTAGTCCTCACCACTTATTTCGCCCATCCCCCACCACCTCCCCTCTGGTAACCATCAGTTTGTTCTCTATAGTTAAGAGTCGGTTTCTTGGTTTGCCTCTCTTTTTTTTTTCCCTTTCCTTGTTTGTTTCTTAAATTCCATATATCAGTGAAATCATATGGTATTTGTCTTTCTCTGACTGACATATTTCACTTCGAATTATATTCTCTCTCTAGCTCTATCCATGGTGTTGCAAATGGCAGGATTTCATTCTTTTTTTTTTTACAGATATTTTTTAAATGTTTATTTATTGAGAGAGAGAGGGAGGGAGAGGGGAAGGGGCAGAGAGAAACCAAGCAGACTCCACGCACAGCACAGAGCATGACACGGAGCCCGATCCCACCACAACCGTAAGATCATGACCTGAGCCACAATCAAGAGTTCCACGCTAAACCGACTGAGCCATCCAGGTGCCCCTTCACTCTTTTTTATGGCTGAGTAATATTCCATTGAATATATATACCACATCTTCTCTCTCTCTCTCTCTCTCTTTTTTGCCCCCTCAGATCTAGGGTTAGGGTTAGGGTATGTGCCAGGGTGAGGGTCTGTGCCTGGTATCCTGTAGTACAGAGACCTCTCCAGAGGGTTAGGATTAGGGTTAGGGATTAGGGGTTAGGGGTTAGGGCTAGGGTTAGGGTGTATGCCTGGCATCCTATAGTTCAGGGACCTCTCCAGAGAATAAACCCCAAACTTCTGCTGGGGTGCGAATAGACATGGAAGCCTTCTCTCTAGCTGAGACAAGGAAGGTTTTGGGGGCTCTATATATTCCTTAAATGGATATTCATTTGTTCCTTCTGTTTTTTTTTTTTTACCTTCACACCCATTTTCAGAAATATTACCCATTCTTTTTTTTTTTTAATTTTTTTTTCAACGTTTTTTATTTATTTTTGGGACAGAGAGAGACAGAGCATGAACAGGGGAGGGGCAGAGAGAGAGGGAGACACAGAATCGGAAACAGGCTCCAGGCCCCGAGCCATCAGCCCAGAGCCTGACGCGGGGCTCGAACTCACGGACCGCGAGATCGTGACCTGGCTGAAGTCGGACGCTTAACCGACTGCGCCACCCAGGCGCCCCAAAAATATTACCCATTCTTAAATGTTTGGGGTCTTCTCCAGAATAACTAGGCTGTTTTTCAGCTTTTCTTACCATGTGTTCAGGAAATGTTTTAAATTTTATTTTATTTTTTTTATAATTTTTTAGAAATTAAATTTATTAATTTTAAATTAATTAAATTTAGAAATTATTTATTTACTTTGAGACAGAAAGAGAGGCACAGAATCCCAAGCAGGCTCTGCACTGTCAATGCAGAGCCCCATGTGGGGCTCGATCTCACAATCCAAGAGATCATGACCTGAGTGGAAATCAAGAGTTGGACACTTAACGAACTGAGCCACCCAGGTGCCCCTAAATTTTATTTTAAAATTGAAATAGTGTAAACTATTTTTCCGTTCCGTTCCGTTCTATTCTTTTTCGGGGGGGATCAAACCATTTTATTCAAAGGTTTCGGGGAAAAGTCGAAGTGGAGTGGAAGGTGATCTACGTTCTTGGCTCAGCAGGAATCTTGCGAACCTCACAGTCGCCAAAAGCCCATTCAATTCTATTCTTTCGGTAGGACATTTCCCTTAAACTGTTGCAACTCATAGATATCGCTGCACTGTACTTCCTGGCTTTAGTAGGTGAGTCATCTCCAGTATTACACATAAACACATTATCACTCTAGTTAGGATCAGAAGATTGAGTAAATTCAATAATTCAGTAACTTCCTATGTACTAATATAACATTGAAAGGTGTTTACTTGAACCTTTTATACAGAATGTACCACTTACACGGATACATTCGTGAATCATAATTGGTAACTACACTGAAATATTTGCTTTAAACTATGATGGAATTAAACTATTTTTAAAATAAGAAGTATGGACTAATTTTTAAGTTTAAAATGAAGGCATATCACTGAGGGAGAATTGAGTAGAGATGTAGATACTAGTAATGTGCCAGAAGAAGGAAAAAAGAAAGAGATTAGGGGCACCTGGGTGGCTCAGTCAGTAAAGCATCCAACTCTTGATTTCGGCTCAGGCCACCATCTCACGGTTCATGGGATCAAGCCCTGAGTCGGGCTTTGCACTGATGGCATGGAGCCTGCTTGCGATCCTCTCTCTCTCACTCTCTCTGCTCTTTCCCCACTTGTGTTCTCTGTCTCTCTTTCTCTCTCTCAGAATAAATAAACTTTAAAAAGCACAAAGAAATTAGAAGACAGTATGTTTTAAGTGTCATGTAATTTGCTGGAGAACAAAACAGAAAAGCGGTTTGTTGTTTTGTTGTGTAAAAACTGAATAAAGATAATAAAATGGACAGTAATACGGGACATTTTTGGCAAATACAGAGCGAATTTGATGAGAATAGTCAAGAAAAAATCAATAAAATTAGTTGCCTGCATTCAAAATTGAACATTCAGTGAAAATTGTTTTAACAATGATAACAAATTCTGAACTTGTAACTTTGGTCAGCTTGACAATGGTTTGGATTTTTTGTGCATAAAAGAAAACCAGTTTTAAATTGCTCAGTTCTCTGAAACAGACTGTATGAAAAGCATCATAGATACAGTTGTTAAAACTGTTCAACATATACGTGTAAATGCTTTGACTCATCACCAGTGGTTTTGGAACTGTTGAAAGAAGTAGACAATGATTTTAATGATCTTGTGTTTGTTGCCAGTGCTCGTTGGTTGAGCCACAGAGAGTTTTAAAACTTTTACTGTGCTGTTGACTGCAAGTCTAGATTTTCTTGAAACAAAAGGAATGCTTGCTAAATATTCATTAATAAAAAATGGCGATATGATTTACATGTTTTCCCATAGATATTACACTGCATATGAACAAGATAAATTTGAAGCTCCAAGGAAAGGAAAAGCTTATTTGGGATTTAACCAGACAGAAGAATTTTTGTTAAAATTGACACTTTTCATGATTCAAGCCAATAATAATAATTTCCTACATTATTCTGACATGAATCAATATGCAGAAGATTTTAATTATAATAGGGTTTTGTAAATTGGCTATAAAAACTAAGAAAAATTTTGAAGAATGCTCATTTATATTGATAAATTCAGCATTGGTTTTCAAATAGCACAATACCCCTTTGAAACTAATACCGAGTTGGCACAAATTAATGAATTTACTTAGCTTGGAAAGATGTAGTTTTGAAGTCAAAGAAGTAGCAGAAACCCAAAGACAGTGATGTCCTGGCAGACACAGGAAAACATTTTGAAAGATGTAAAATAACAAAGAAAGATGAAGTAGTAAAAGAACCAGAAAAAGTGAACAAAGATTGCCGAATGTAGTGAAATCCCAGGCATGTTGGGGGAAAAAGAATACACACACATACGCACGTACATGCTTACACATACGTGTGTGTTTGTATACCATTCATCACCAATGTGAGGCTGTCCTCATCCTGAGCAACAGGTGGGAAGGACAGGCAGAGGAAAGAAGCTGGATTGATCCAGGGTTTCGAGTGTGCAGGGACAGAGGACTAGGACTTGAGGACTTGACGGTGAGAGGACCAACCACAGAGAGAGAATGGAAAGGAGGTGAGTGAGAGAGTGAGGAGGAGATAGGGTGGTCCAGGGACTCACATCCAAGGTCCTGATGTGGTCAGAGAATGGGCACAGCACACATATTCTGAGTGGCCCATGACCTGTATGTGACTCTGCCTCCTCTCCTGCCCTGCTCCAGGTATCCACAATTACTGAAGCTGAGATCAAGGAACTGACACAGGGCATTGGCCGAAATCTTCCACCCAGAAGCCCAACTCCTCCCAGGATGAGGTAGGCTTTGAGCTGAGGTCATACGGGTGTCAAAGTTGGCAGTGAAGGTGAGCTAGGACCTGGAGGCCTGGTAGAGTGGCTGGATAGGGCACAGACCTATTGGGGATTTTGATTAAATCTGTGAGCAATGGGATGAAAGTATCAAAAAGGAGACCTTCCTGTTTTCCTCACCCCTACACTTGAAAAGGCAGACTGTTTCCCTTAAGTCAAGCCTGCCTGTTGCCAAGAGATTCAAGCATGTCTTAGACACTGCTGTGTCATATATGCCTCAGGAGCATGAGGTTTTTGTCCTTCTTCTTTTTAACATTCTGTTTTCTGTGCAGTCACCATTTGATAACCTTATTTTGATAATAATTTTAACAGAAAAGTTGCAGAAAGAGTACATGGAGTTCTTGTTTATCTTTACCTAGTTTCAACCATCATGGATACTTTATCCCATTTGCTTTATCGTCTCTCTCTTTCTCTGCATATATATATGCATACACATATCTATACATGCATATGTAATTTTTTTTCCAAACCAAGAGTTAGTCAGAGACATTATGCCCCTTTACCCAAAAGGCTTCAGGGTGTAATTCCTAACAACAAGGACCTTCTGTTACGCAACCGCAGTGCACTGATCAAAGTCAGGAAATTGAACATTGCTACAAAGCTATTTCCACAGTCCTCGTTCCACTTTTGTCAATTGTTCCAATAATGTCTCCTATGGCTATTTTTCTTTCCTGCTCCAGGATCCAATCCAGAATCACACATTGCGATTTAGTTGTTATATATTCTTAGTTTCTTTTCATCTGGAACAGTTCAGTTCCTCAGCTTTTCTTTGTATTTCTTGACCTTGACATTTTTTGAAGAACATGGGCAATTCATTTTGTGGAAGGTCCCTTAGTTTGAATTGGTCTGATGTTTCATCATGATTAGAGGAAGGTGTGCATTTTTGGCAAGAAGACCTCAGAAAGGATGTTGGGTCCTTCTCCGTATACCGCAGCAGGAGGCACGTGAGGTCAGGTTTACCCAGTCAACAATCTTACCTTTACTTTGTAACAACAGCAGAACGTTCTTTTAGCTTTATTCTTCTCATTTGGCAGGTATCTTACATTGCAGTATGATTTTCTGTTTTGCACAGGCATAATAATGTGAAGTTTATATTTTTGATTAATTGCAAATAACCAAAATGCAATAAACTGGTGTTTTTTGTTTTTTGTTTTTTTTTTTTTTTTTTTTTAAGGAAGCATGTTTAAAATAATATGTGTTAGGGGCGCCTGGGTGACTCAGTGGGTTAAGCGTCTGACTTCGGCTCAGGTCACGCTCTCACAGTCTATGAGTTCGAGCCCCGCGTTGGGCTCTGTGCTGACAGCTCAGAGCCTGAAGCCTGCTTCAGATTCTATGTCTCCCTCGCTCTCTGTCCCTCCCCCGCTCATGGTCTGTTTCTGTCTCTCAAGAGTGAATAAATGTTAAAATTTTTTTTAAAAAATGTGTTAATGTTCACTTGTGGGGTTTTAATGTCAACTGGTATACTTAGATTGAAACCAAAGCTATTTCAGACAAAAACGAGAAAACTATATATTTGTAATTAATTTTGAGAATATGCAAGTTAAGACTAAAAAAAAACTTCCTGACACAATGAACATATTTGGAAAATAGTAACATCAATATATCCTTAGAGTGTTAGACTTATGATTAACATGGTGATATGCCAGGCAATACGTATAAAACCAGAAGAAACGTATGACTTAGTGGGGAGGAGTGAATTATCATCTACAATGCACATCTTAAGAGTAACTGCTATATAACAACTTTAGGCAGATTCTCAGAGCCTGACAGAAGGGGGGTCATGGGACTGGTTGTGTCAAGGGGAAGAAGCTGAAAATGGAGCCAAAGAAGATTTTAAAATCAGAGCTGTGTCAACATGCATAAATTCACTTGCTTTGAAGAAGCTGCAATGGGATTCAGGAACCGGTAAAAGAATATTTATTGTTTTGCCTTTGCATGCCAAAATGTGATCTCTTTTTCTTCTACCCTTTCCTTAAAACAACAATTGTCTGCATGTAGAATGAGTATATTTTTTTTTATTTTTTTTCAACGTTTTTTATTTATTTTTGGGACAGAGAGAGACAGAGCATGAACGGGCAAGGGGCAGAGAGAGGGAGACACAGAATCGGAAACAGGCTACAGGCTCCAGGCTCCGAGCCACCAGCCCAGAGCCCGACGCGGGGCTCGAACTCCCGGACCGCGAGATCGTGACCTGGCTGAAGTCGGACGCTCAACCGACTGCGCCACCCAGGCACCCCTAGAATGAGTATATTTTAAATGAACCACTCAGTGATTTTTATCTGCTCTCATTTCCAGTACTGAGCGGCAACATGATAGACTAGAAATTCTCCTGACTTGCGGCACCTGGGTGGCTCAGTCGGTTAAGGGTCCGACTCTCGGTTTTGGCTCAGGTCATGATCTCACAGTTCAGGAGTTCAAGCCCCACATCAGGCTCTGTGCTGACAGTACAGAGGCTGCTTGGGATTCCTTCTCTCTCCCTTTCTCTCTGCCCTTCCCTGCCTCTCTGTCAAACTAAAAAAAAAAACCCAAAAAAAAAAAAAAAAAAAGAAAAAGAAATTCTCTTTATTTTACAGTCAGACTGACCCACATTCCAAACCTCACTCTGCCACAGACTGGCATGTGGCCTTGAGCAGGTCACATGGCCCCAGTGTCTATGTCTTTAAACGGGGAATAAATTTTGCTGGATTGGAAGGATTAGAAATGACATACTTTACAAATACTTTGGCCCATAGTGGACAGTATTCAATAGTGGAAGTTGGACATAAGAGCAATATAATTTAAAGAAAAGAGCCCTGAATTGGAAACTGGGGTACCAGCATCCAGGTCCCTGGTCCCTGGTTCACTAACAAGCACCTGACCATGGCTGGTCCTTCAAATTTATTGGATTTTAGTCCAAATAAGGAAGGAATGTTGGTTGGAGAGAAACAGAGGTCAAGTACAAGAGCTGACTGCCACGCTGTGGGAACACAGCTGAGCAAGTGAGTGGGCTGTGGCTGACATTGATCTGAGCCTTGAATGATCACGTGTGGGCCTTTCCACTGGTCATAGGAGGTGTTTCAGGTAAGGACAAAGACCCAGGGGACCGGTAGGTAAAAGGGCAAAGCGTTGCCATGCGGCAAAATGGCAGCTCCACTCCAATCCCAGTGCAATCAGCTTCGGGGACTACCTCTGAGTGTTGAGCTGTATCAAATACATTTTAAGATAAATGGACCCTTTGCAGTCTTTGGAAATCTTTTAGCCCTGCCGTAAAGAAATGGCAACTGAAATGGGAGTTGCTCTGTAAGCACCCATGTACTCACCATGTGGACTGGGGCAAAGGAAACTACCAGTTAGACATTAGTCTTAACTCATTAGTAATTCGTAATTAATCCTTCTATGGGGCTTTTTACACACTAGGCACTGATCTAAGTGCTGTACCTCCATTAATTCACTTGATCCTCAGGACAATTGTGTGAAAGAGGGATACTCCCTTCACAGATGAAGAAACAGACACGGAGAGATGAGATCATTTGCCAAAGGTCACCGGCCAGCAAATGGAAGAATCAAGATTAGGATCCAGGCTGGCTGACAAAACCCCTGATTCTAATCATTCTATGAACTATCTCTAGAGACTGAGGAAGTAAGGAATCATTCTTACAGAAAAATACACATTTAACTAGCACTGAGAGTTGAGAATTTAGCCGCATCTTCAAGTACAGCTGTACTTAAATGCTGCATTCAGACAAAAAGCCAGGCATTACTTTTGGACCCAACTACATTCCATTATTTTCTTTGGTAACACTTTTAATTATGTCATTATTTGGGCATAGGCGCTTAGGTAATGCATTGCAATAAATAAGTCTTCCCTCCCCCTAATGTGTCATTCTTTGCTGGAAGTGAGAGGAGAGGAGGAAATGGAGTGGGTTGGACAGCATTTCATGTAGGGGCTTTGTGTCAATTGGAAGTTCTCTTAAAAGGCCCGGGGTGCCAGTGTGTTAAGCTTCTGACTCTTGATATCTGCTCAGGTTGTGATCTTGTGGTTGTGGGATCCCCACGTCGGGCTCCGTGCTGAGCATGGAGCCAGCTTGGGATTCTCTCTCTTCCTCTCTCTGTCCCTCCCTCGCTCATGCGCACTCTCACTCAAATTAAATAAGTAAACGTTTTTGAAAAAGGCTGGCCTGGTGTATCTTCTCGGGTTGTGTGACAGAGACTCAGGTTGTCAGTTTTCCTTCTAAGTCAGACTTTGTCAAGCTGGGGGAATACTCTGGGGGTGTTCAGACACATCTCAGGGCACTGTGAGTCTGCAGGGGTAAACACAGCGGCTGCAGGGTAATAGCAGGAACTGACTCTCCATGTCTTTGTGTCTTGCATGCTAGGTCTAAAAGGGTCAGCAGGGACAAAAATGAGGATTATGACTGTCTTGAGGAAAACCTGTTTTGTTATTTACTTGTCTTAAATAATTATCCAGAGTTCTACCAACAAACTTCTCAGGGCTTCTGAATAGGCTGTGGACTGCCTGGCACTCTGGGGGGTGGGACTTTGGGTCAAACGATGAGGAACAGAGTGGGGAAATCGCACGGGCTGCCTGTCATCCTCATCTCCCTCCCCAACCTCTGAACCCAGAGAACCTGCTCTTTGCTTGGGGTCCTTTGGGGTGTCAAGCATAATGTTCTAGTACTCAGTTTATTTCAAAGACACAGATATTGAAGGCCTACTGTGTGCCAGGCAACATGCCAAGCACTGGTGAAAAGAGGTGTCCTGAAGGAGCATGGTGCTGAGAGTAAGGTGTGCCTTAATAATGATATCAACATCTTCATCACTGTCTCTACCTACCATTTACTGAATGCTTGTCACATGTCAGATGTTACCCTCTGTGCTTGTCATGTATTTACTCAGTTAATTTTCACAACAGCTCTATGAAGTGGGTACTATTATTAGCTCCATTTTACATTTTACAGAGTTGGGGAAGCAGGCCTAGAGAACTTGATGAACCTGTTCACTGTCACATAGCTAGTAAGAGGTGGGTTAGAAATTCACCCCAGGAATTGTTTGCTGGAGATAGGCAGTAGCTCCAGAGAGGAGGGAGGCAGGACACCCTCTCCAATTTCATACACACCCCGATGGGGAGGGGCACCTGCTGGTGGGAGGCAGGTGGACTCATACATCTTGGCTTTCCGGAGCTGTAAGAAAGTGCAGACATGTTGAGACACAGGCAGGGTTATCAGAGGTGGTACCATGAAGGGGTGAACAGCCGGACTAGAGAGCCACCTGTCTGGCTTCTAGTCTTGGCTTCACCATTTTCTAGCCATCGAACTTCCTTGTACCTCGGTTAACCTGTTTGTAGAATAGGGATAATTACACCTGCTCCTTAGGGCTATTGTTATGGATTAAGAAAGCATTTGAGACTGAAGAATGCTCTTCTCTGGGAAAACCACAACCATGAGGCTAGTTTCCCAGCAGCCTTCAATTTTGCTCATTTTTGTGAATATCTCACTTCAACTCCATCCCATCTGCCATTTGCTTGAAATTTGCTTGAGGTAATGAAGTTCACTTAAAAATTTCTATATAGCAGGGCTGCTTGGCTGGCTCAGTCAGAAAAGTTAGTGACTCTTGATCTCAGGATCATGAATTCAAGCCCCATGTTGGGCATGAAACCTACTTAAAACAAACAAACAAACAAAAAAAAAACTTAGGGTCACCTGGGTGGTTCAGTCGGTTAAACTTCTGACTTCGGTTTGGGTCATGATCTCATGGTTCCTGAGTTCGAGCCCCACATTGGGCTGTCTGCTCTCAACACACAGCCTGCTTGGGATCCTCTGTCCCCCTCTCTCTCTGCCCCTTCCCTACTCGCAGGCTCTTTCTCCCTCTCAAAAATAAGTAAACATTAAAAAAAAACTTAAAAAAATTTCCATATAGCTTTACTTTACAAACTTGGTTTAGCTACAAGTCTTTTTTTCTATTTTTCAATTGAGATAAAATTTATATAACCGAATTAGCTATTTTACAGTGAAAAACTCACTGGCACTTAGTGCAGGTACAATGTTGGGCAACAACCAGCTGTATCTAATTCCAAGACACAAGACATTGTCATCACCCCCAAAGAAACCCCGTACCCATTGTCCCCTCCCCCCACAACCATTAACCTCATTTCTATCTCTATGGAGTTGCTTGTCCTGGACATTTCAAGTGGTATCATACACTATTTGTCCTTTTGTCTGGCATCTTGCACTTAACATGATGTTTTTGAAGTTCATCTATGTTGTAGCTTATGTCAGTCCTTCATTCCTTTCTATGACTGAATGATATTTTGTTTATCTCTGCTCATTTATCACTGGGAATTTGGTTGTTTCTACCTTTTGGCAACTGTAAATACAATTGTGTACAAATTTTTGTTTGAACACTTGTTTTTTATTTGTTTGGGTACGTACCCAAGAGTGGAATTGCTGGATCGTATGGTAACTGTACGTTTAAGTTTTTAAGGACTCGCCAAACTGTTTTACAGAGTGGCCACACCATTTCACATTTCCACCTGCAATTTCTCCATGGCCTTGCTGACGCCTGTTACTTTCTGGCTTTCATAATGTATTTATTTATATCAGAACTATCCTTGTGGGTGTGTAGCTGTATGTATTGTGGTTCACACTGCTTTTTGGTTTTGCAGTGGCACACTCAGTTTTGTGTTGGAATCTGCTGGGTTTTTCTTTAGCAATCCCCATGTTTGGGTGGCACCTCTGTCAGGTTCCGGGCAGCAGCCGGTTTTAACCTCATCCTGAGGTGATGCCAGTATGCAGGCAAAGTTGAGAATCGCTCTGTCAAAGATTCCAAGCCAGTCTCAGTTGCATACTTTTTAATCAGAAATTCACATCACGTTTAACTTACTGGGCCAGGCCCACATTTATCTGAAAAATGGTGGGGGAGTGATACGGCTTTCTGACAGCCATTTCAACCCTAAGAGCTAAGGCCAGAGTTTTGTTTTGTTTTTTTAAGAGAGGAAGTGATTTCACCACAGCTGCACACAGGGGGCAGGGAGGCAGAGTGTCTCCATGGGTCCCAAGTGAACTGCTGAAAACAGAAAAAATAAAACAGTTAAACAAAAGGCTAGTGGCTTTGATGGCAGGTGCAGCTGCTAAGGGCTGCTGGTCCCCACCCCACCCCGCCCCCCACCTCCCTTCACAAGGAAGGCTCGGTGGCCTCTGGGTTCTTATAGCCTGGGAGGTTTCCAGTTAGCACTCTGTTTCTCTGCCACAGTCACCACCTTCCCCTCTTCACTGGAGAGCCTTTTTCCATTTTCTTTTTTAACTTTTTTTTTCCACAGAGAAAGAGAGAGAGAGAGAGAGACAGTGTGTGTGTGCAAGAGTAGGGGAGGGGGCAAAGGGAGAGAGGAGGGAGTCCCAGGCAGGCTCCACCCCATGCTCAGCATGCTCAGCATGGAGC